CTTTTTGATACATGTTGTACAGCATATCATTTTAAAGCATTTGAAACGGACTTTTTAGTGATATAGAAGACATATATTTTCTCTGCCACATGTATGGAATAGAGGCATAAGAAACCAAGTCAAAGAATCGACAATAAAAATGGCGATTTTCAGATACACCTCCACGACAAATTACCACAGGATATTTGTAAACAATATAATTACAGCAAACATTATACATCAGTTGAAAGCCAATTTTCTTCCGAACAAAACCACATCTATTAAACTTGGTGTTTTGGTATAATTTTGATTTATTCACTGACTAAATATGTATCTTCATCCTAAAAAAGTCGGAAGATTCAAAATCTGAAATTCAGCCGCGGCTCAATTTATTAATTTTGAGTAACAACTTAAGTGCTTTATATCGCCAAAAAGCTTATTAACTTGGCTTTCTCACAACACTTATAGTTATTTCACGTGCTTTAAAAAATGTTAGTTTTCGTTTTAATTTAAAAATTCGGACACCCTGCCAAACTTCCAATGTTGCCATTACGCGATCGACAGAAACGTATTATTCTCAACTAAATCATTGATTTTAGGCAACTAACCTGAAAAATCCGAAAGGTTAACCTTTCTCGCCTATAATAATAGATCCATGGTTTAATAATTTTACTTGCTGTCAAAAATATCCAACAATAAACACGAGTATAAAATTTCAGCAGACAACACTTTCTCCCCGACTTTTCACCAAATGCGCATGCGTACAACTTTTCGGAGCGACTTACAACAGGTCGGAGGCAGTTGTAAATTTACGTGCATATTTACAAGAGTTTGTAACTTACAAACCTTCGAGAATACCAACTTACAAGAACGATCGGACTTACGTGAAAAGTTACAAGAATTTGTAAGTTACAACCTTTCGAGAATACGGCCCCAGATCATCTTGACAGCTCCAACAAAAATGGAAATAAAAATCCTTCCCGTGCTCACCTATATCGACTGTTTCCGGGAATGGGCCAGCATGGCAACGCACATAACAAATCAATAAGTTCAGAGCAATGGCAGCGCATAGAAACTTTTTACTTCCCGGACTCTTCGAGACATCCGCCATCATGAAGTATGCCGGTAAGGTTAGGTGAA